ACTGTTTTGGGATAAACAATTACAAATTCTGAAAAACTACTTGGCCAAGATACTCCAATTTTGTTGTGGTTAGCTAGAAGTACAAATCCTATGAATTTGAAGAACTCCAAATATCTGCGAGAAACCATCGCCGCATTACCAACAAGTGTCAAAACCTGCAGTTTGTCTCGGATTTCGGCCATAAGTTTTTTGATATTAGTCGGATCTTTTTACGTGTGATCTGATTTTCTAGGTCTCAAAATACCTAAAAATCTTCTCCCATGTGAAAAGTTTTTTCGTTCCTACCAACACTTTCGGTCGAATCCCAAAAACACCTTTTCTTATTCTTTGTTGTCGAATAAAAAGTTTTCCCACAAAAGCTGGTGTACCCATTTTATGCTTTTTGAATCCCCCGTTGAACAACTTGCAGGAATAAGACCAGACTTTACAATTATTTCGCAAACCAGAGGTATTTTCCTCTTATATAATTAGGCTAATAGTATTAAAATATCTAAACCTTCAATTGCCAATTAGACGGTTCGTAGGAAGAAAATCAAAAATATTAGACACTTATCTATACAGGGTAGGGTGACTTCGAAGTTGAGTCATTTATTTTAACAGTGAATAGATCTGATCAAAAGAAATGTTTTTTCCTTTACCATTTTTCTGGTAAAATTAAAGTAACAAAGTTATAGCCCTTTGGAAGTTTGAGTACCGCCCTGTCTCAATATCATGTGCTCGTGTTTGGCAACAACGGATATAATCCGTCTTACCGGTTCATCGCATCGGAAAGAAAAAAGCGAAAGAATTTGGAACGATGTTTGTACAGTTTATTATTTTATTCAGTTCAGTTATACATACAGTCAGTGTCAGTCGCGTGTGAATAGTGTCTGTTGCGTGGCTCAAACGAAATAAAAAATGGCACATGTTTATGCGGATCGGTTTCCCAATCGAGTGCAACCAACCCCACGTGCCTTTGTTAATGTAGTACAACGGGCTCGTGAATCAGGTGACTTAAGACCTCACAGGGGACCTCACGATCAAATACAGGTCCGCACTGAAATACTTGTCGGGAGGATACTTTATAAAACAAGGTAAAATTTTTTTTTTAATTTTTTTTTATTTTTACACACATATTTTGGTTTATCTTCCTTCTACAATCATTATCTGAAAATTAATGACTCAACTTCAAAGTCACCCTGTATATATGCCTTTCAGAAAAGCCTTTTTTCATCATTAAATGACAAATGAAAATTCTCCCTTGACGCCATCTTGTAACAATTTTTAAGATGGAATATAGGATTGTCTGATATCTTATTTTGAATCTTTTTATGAAGCTCGGGATCCAACAGAATTTCTTATAAAGCCAGTTGTAATTTTTTTTTATTTGAGGTAATACTTATTCCTAGACATTTAGAAAAATTCAGTATAAACGCTGCAACTTCTGTTTTGTTCATTAAATACTACGGCCTAATACCTTTTTAGATTTTTCTTGTTTCTTATTATGCATCTCGTTCTATCTTCATTTAATCTGTCTTAGCTTAGAAGAATCTTCGCATCTGCTTGGAAAAATATTTTGATTCGGCTTTATCATAATATCATTTTGAAGCACTTCTTTCAACAAATCTGTATTTTGCCAGACCCGAAATTGCGTAAAAAATATTTTATCGGTTTTTCTTAAGCAAATTTTTCTTGGCACTCGATAAATAATCTATTTTCGAAAATTTTGAGCCTGTTGTTGCGAATCGTCTATATGTGCTAAATATGCGCGAAATGCGCTTTTAGATAACTCAGGTATATTTTTGTCTGTGTAATTTTCCGTATTACACTACCGAGTCAATGTAGATAACCGATTTCACTGTTGGTTTCGTTTCTCTTCGATCATTGATATCTCCAGAACTTTGATGCTACAACCGCGCTATAATCTGGAACATATCTCCGCATCATCCTCACCAGGCATTTTTGAATAATGGCGTTAAAAAAGATCCCTTCTAACGAATCTGCAGAATGTTTTTTTATTTATTTTGTAAAGTTGATAGTCTCCTAGATATAAGCGATTTAATGTTTGAAATAGTGCAAAGTGTATCATTTCCTACCCCGAAAAATAATATGAGAATTTTAATGTTTCCAAAATGCCTAGGTATCGTCAAACACATATTAACAAAATATGTAAAAAAAAGTATTTTAGGAAGTATTATAATTGTGAACCTTGGTTTTTCAATTCTTAATCAAGTGATTGTTCAATGTATATTCTGCGCGAGTGCGTAATGCCGCCCGCGCCTCTAGTTTTTGACCAGAGAAAAAAAAATTCCTGTGATTTGTTTAAAAAAATCGTTTAGACAATTTTCAACGGAATTTTGGGCATACCAACATGCAGGTTTGTCTAAAGCCATCCTTTTTTAATAAAACTATGCAGAAAAAACAAAACCAGGATATTTTTCCGAGCAGACGCGATGGTGAATGAATGAAATAAATGAGATTACAGGCATACTAGCCACCACGAGGAACTGGGACATGGGCCACATGACGGGCCCTCATGCACCACTACATTTCCTTAGCCTCAAGCTCCGCCCATCTAGCGAAGTTGAGTATAGATCTGAGCTCCAGCTCCTCAACATTCTGGTGATCTAAAGCTTTGCACCCCAGTATAGTCTGCCTTTAGTGGCTCAGAGCCTCGCAGGGACACAGAACACGCACCAAGTACCCCTCCTCTACCTCGCAGCGTTCATACATGGGATCCTCAGCTACCCTCATCACATTTAGGTGGCACCTCATCGTCTTATGGCCAGGCAGACCAACCAACAGTCATAAGTTGGCTCTATCCAAAGATAAGCAAAAGCGTCCATCCTTAGAACTAGACCCTAATATGAGGTCCCGCGCCTGTCAGAGGTAGCCCCAGGGCTGGCTCAGATCAAGCTTGGCCACTGATCCTGCATTCGCGAAAGCGCCCGCCATATTATTACCCCCGGTACAGACACTAACTATACCGAATACCTTCCTGCTAAACTAACCAGAGCTTCCCTGCATTGTAATACAAGGCTCGAAGAAATGCTGCAGGCATTTAGTGGTTGTTAGTCTTCTTCTAGGTCCGTCCCCCTTCAGAATCGCATAGATCTCCGCCTGTAAAAGTCGAGGAAGTGCTTCTAGGACTAATAGATGTATCTATATGTTTCAATGCTTTAATATCTAATATTCCAATACTGCTATACGAGCCCCTTCCCACTTCAGTTGGCCCACTTCAAGATTTGTACCAAAGTATGCCTTTATAAACTAAACATGACGAAACTATTTACTTCTAAAACAATTTATTTCCTCAAAAACATTTCAGATACACTCTAGTCGTAAAAAATACATATTTGAAATCACTTAGACCTATAACTAATAGAACATCTGAACAAATAAACAATGTGCGAATAAATGCGCGAAGTTAACAAAGCAACAATTGAAAGATTACCATTGGGTAACATCACCTTTATTTTTTATTACGGGTGAAATTCTTTGGGGCATAGTGTTAACCAAGTTTTGGCAAAAATTTGGTGTAAAACAATCCCATATTTCTTGAAGCTTTTGTCTCAGTTCGGTGACTGTACGAGCAGGATGTTGTCGTAGAACCTTTTTCATCTCGTGCCACAAAGTTTCAATAGGTGACAGATCTGGACTGCTAGAAACCCATTTCAAAAGTGGTACATTATTTTCTTCCATCCATTTTATAGCCTTTTTTGAGGTATGGCACGCTGCACCATCTTGCTGAAACACAAAATCTTGGCCGGATGTCAAAAATTCTTCCATCACTGGTAAAAGCGATTCTTCTAAAATTGCCAAATATTTGTTTGTATCCACATTTCCATCAATAAAATGAAGTTTTCCTACTCCTTTTGATGACATACTGCCCCAGACCATAATGGATGCTGGAAATTTCGCTTTTTTCTTCAGACAGTCAACATGGAATGCTTCATTTTTTTTTTCGAATAACTCTACTGCGACTGTCACCAACACAAACTTCGAATCGGGCCTCATCACTCATGTATTGCACACCATTGTTGAGGTGTCCATTGTCTATGTTCTTTAGCCCATCTAAGCTGATTTTTCTTTTGCAGTGGAGTTAATTCTGGCTTTTTTTTGGCCTATAAAGAAGTTGCGCAACTTTAGGGTTTTTACTTCACTTCTTTTTATAAGAAAACTTACCTTGCAAGTGCTAAATCCCAGTTTGTGGGCCTCTCTATGAGTTGTGGACCTCGAAATTCTCCTTCCAACAGCGTCACTCCACAGAACACTTAATTGTAAATAATTGGCACGCCTATTTTTCGCGATTATTCTTCTTAATGCTCTTGGTCGGCATTTGTGATATTACTTTTTTTCACATATCGTGGCTTAATATTAACTGAACCAGTTACGTTATATCTTCTAACAATATTTCTCACACTGTACCGCGATAAATCTAACAAAGTTGCAATTTCTGAGTTTGATTTCCCAGAATTAAAAAATTTAATTATCAGTAACCGAATTTTCTCACTAATAACCTTTCCTCTACCCATTTTGAAAACCATAACTACCCAAAACTATTTTAAACGTATTCTGACAGCTGTGATTAATAAAAACAATTGTCATGGCTTTTATTTTTCACAGCCACCGATGCGTTATAGACTTATTTTGCATTGAAATGAAAATAGGTTGATATGCTGTAATTGCAACATATGTTATTGTTATGCTGCAAATTTGAATAGGCAGTGATAATGTTGGCGTTTTCTACTTTATATTATCAAAATATTCATTGTTAATAAGTTAATATTTTAAACATATAACACCCTGCTACATTTTTATTATTTGTGATTGATAAGAAAAAACTAAGATTTCAATAGTTGGGCCAACTGAAGGGGGAAGGGGCTCGTAGTACAAACCGTATACCCTCGTATTGAACTTTCTTCGTTTCAATGTCTGATATCAACTCACCGTGTATAGTGAAGATACGGTTGACGATATAAAAGAGAGTAAGGTGACCTATTTTGTATAGTTCTGTGCCATGGTACACGGTGGGCAGATCATGTGCATGCCGACGTCGTGAAAACGATACGAGTTTGTTTTTCACTCAGCGTGTTTCCGCTGCGGTCGCCTGTGGATTTAGGGGAATCACTCACACATGACAGCTAAGGGTTGGATATTTATCACACAAACATGAAGGTAGGTGATCATGAAAAATCTTTTCAAACACAGGAGAATGAAAATTAAATATCATTTTTTACTTTCCATGGATGAGTGAAATAACTAATGTCAACGAGGCAACTTTCACAGGATCTATAAGCGGTGTTTTCGGCCTTTAAAATAACTCAAATTTCAAGTTGACGCTATCTAAGAAATTTTTGCATTTATATAATATTTTAGAGCAGGTTTAAACTTCCATCAACATTTTTATTTTTGTCTTAACACGTGTTTGTTTTTTAAAAGCCTAAAGTTCACAGTTTTGGCTATATTTAACTTCAGTAGTTTCATATGAGCTATGGGTCGCATTTTTTACTCCCAATCTGTAATAAAACATTCAGACGCACAAAATATATAAAAAAATAAGATTTGCTCCATTGTGCTCATGTGTCATGTCTTAGTATGTTTAATTATAGATTTGAAGTAGAAAATGCTGCGGTACGCTCAGATAAAAAAACAAAATCAAATACGTATTCGGAAATGCAGGTAATTTTAGACAAAATGCGACTTTCGTTTTATATATGATGGTAATAATAATAACCAACGACTAAATAAAAGCAATTCAATAATAATAATAATATTTTATTTATTTATATGCTCAGTTATTCCCAATCAGTAAGGCGCCATAAAACGGAAGGGGGGAGCGCGTATGCGGCGCGTAAATAAAATAAAAAGGAATTTAAAGTTTTGTTCAAATATTGAAAGAAAATAATAATTTTCTGATATAAAAAGATACAATACATATACCTGCACATTTACATTTCAAACCTATTGATTTAAATCAATTTAATTTAATAATTGTTAACAACTCCCTCAGGTCTGTCTTGCAGAACATAGTTCATGTGTTTTTTAATAAATCTCTAATAATTCAACCACAAAGACACCATATTGTATGCTAATATTTATTGTAACAGGGTTCAGTAGAAATAGGTAATTTTGAAGGTTTGTCAACAAGGTCATAGTGAAACGGAAGATATGATTATATAGAATCAAATGACAATTGTGATTGAAAATTGGATAGCAACTAATAAAAGGTTGATAAACAGTGCCCTAATCCTTTACGATGATGAGATGAGACATTTTGTAACGTTCTATATTATTGAAACCTGTGCGAGTAGAATTCTGGTGGATTTTAGAAAGTAATATCATGCGAGTTTTCAGATGAATAAAGGGGAAAAAGGTCACAGAAACTACAAATTTGTTGTTTTCGGATTGCTGAACTATTGAAAAACCCATGACTGTCTTTATTATCTTCTCTCGTATTTTTGGACAAAGATATCGAATTTTTAAAGGAATCAAGATCTTCATGAAAGCTCTAAAATGTTCGAATGCGAGACAGTAAAGTGTAGATAATTCATTTCGCATTAGTGTGAAGGAGATATTTTTAGGAGAAAGAAATGCAATATTGAAAGCAATGCAATAGTTATTTTGGCAATAAACGTTTTTTATTTAACATTTTTTTGCACCAATTTATCAATTTCAACGTTTCGCTTCTTTATATCCTCGACAAAAAGTAAGGAGATTACTTGATTCGTCTGATCTTGCCTTCAAGTAATTAAGAATAGATGTTTCCCATTAAAAATTCATCTTCAAATGACCTTGATGGTTATAGTCAAGGTCATATTTGGACCTAAAGTTTCTTACTCTTTATTTCCGGTATCAAAAATAGGGGTTTCCACTGAAGAGAACTGTCCTTACATTGAAATGAGCTTGAAGGTCAGAGTCAACGTCATGTTCAAGGTCATTATTACATGAATCTTTTCAAATCTTACAACTTTACTGTACAAAACATGTTTCTTTATGGAACGTATTCTTCTAGATATTTTGATCCCTCATTACCTTCTGGGTGCCTTCAAATACCATCCATCTTCGTCAACGCCACGATGGACAAAGACATACCTCTACGTGAAATTTCCCGCTCTTTATATTTCCGGTGTCAAAAATAAGGGTTTCGCTTAAGAAAATTGCCAACATCACTTTCAAGATCACCAATGTATGAATCTTTTCTAGCTTTACATTTTTGTTCTACAACTTTTTTTCCACGAAACGTATTTTTCGGGATGTTTTGATCTACGTGGACTTTAACACTGAACAGTTTTCATGATAAAACCATCCCTATAACCTACCCCGGGTTTCAATTAGTAAGTGTCCAAATTTATACGTCTTTCCGTGCTGTGGTTCAGACCTGATGCTGACAGACTGGACAAAAAACAAATTCACATTTATACACCTATGTATGTCTACCGTTTTCGTCCTGCTTCTACCACTTTTCTATAATTAAGTTTTTCTGCAATAAATCTAAATTTATTTTCTCATTTGATGTATAGCCTTATTTGTACTTCTTCGGGTCTTATAACAATACGAACCAATTCAAAACAATTGGTTTAAAAGGTAATTATTTATTGTATTAACGCTCTCTTCTCAGTGTAATTATTTGTATCATAAGAACTCGAATCCAACTAAAGACCCAGTTCACACAAAAATGAATAAATCATCCTACTATTCATAAACAGTGAAAGTATATGGACACATTGAAACTATGACCAACAAAAACTTATGGGAAGGTCAATTAGTATTATAGAAATAATAAACAATACAAATTAATATTTAATTCACATATTATTGTTAACGAGTACAAATGGAACTAACACATATGTGCATATATTATACCTATACTAGTCAAAATGATGGGTATTTACACAATTCTCAAACCAGAATATACGTTATAGTTACCAAGTATGCACAACAAATTTATTGAATCGTACAAGTTGGGAGTATAGTGAAAGTGCAATTGTTTTCAAATTCCTAAAGATTTTAGGAGGTAAATTCTGAAACTAGTTCTGTCTAAATATTTAACCAATTACACATGTTGGATTTCAGACTATACTTGGTTTTGTTCTTTAAAAACTACTGTCATAGCAGCCGAAACATACAGTAAAATTATTAAATACCTGCATTGGCATCTGTTTAAGTATATAATAATTCAATAATGTCCCAAAACGCGGATGAAATAATTAATTCTAGAAGAAAAATGTTTTAAGCAAAAACTACTATCCTTTGGGCTAAACTCGATGCAAAGTTTTAATGGATCCCCTTCCCCCCATGACTACCGACCCCTGAAAGTAAAGTGTAACAATTCGAATAACCAAAACGGTATATTTCTAGCAAATCGTATCCTACTTGTGATACGAATTTGAGACATGGTTGTACGCAAAGGGCATTTTGAAGAGATCTTCTCCATTGATAGATTTTGGGCCATCCTATAGAGGGGTTTTCAAATTTGATCCTCACCAATGGGATCTCGGAAACTGTACGAGATACGAAGTTGCAAAATGACGCTTAAAAAGTTTCGAAATCCAAAGTACTTCCGGAAAAAGATGAAAAAAACGAATTTATCCAAAATACATCCTTTTAATTCTCTCCCGATTTTATTTGTAGTGGGATATCAAAATAAATTTCACATTAAAATTGCCCTTTTTCTCTTCTACAAGAAGCCATAATGGACGCCAAATTGAATTTTTGCTCAGATGAATAGAGTTTTCAAATGTGATTTCAAAAATGTATAGTACATACATTGAGATTGCCAAAGCTTAGTTATTTCAGAAAAAGCAGAATTTTTTAGGTAAGCCTTAAAATTATCAGATAGTTGTTTGTTTCGCAAACCAGATGTATTCCAAAATCACATTTATTTTTTCTTGACTTTATTCGAGATGGTATTGCATGTTGTCATTGTTACTTATTCTCCTTTACAAGATGGCGTAGTCAAATTTTCAATTCGACATTTCTTCTTTCTACTTCCATCACCAACATTGTTTTCTCGTATGGACCTTATATTGAAGTTTTGTACATTTAAATTGACTTTTCAGTCTTAAATTCAGTGATGTATTTTCTTAGTTCGCCATAAATCCGTTGTTTGATCAACATTATAAGGAAATAAAAAGGTTTGGTGAAGCCTGAACACAAAATGAACATGTTATTGATGGTAATAACAATAATAATCATAAATAAGCAGACGTAAAGCATAGCAGATATTCAAAATGTCCGATATTTTGTAGGCAAAGTCTGACTCTCCTCTGTACATTGTTCACTGCTCGATTTATTTCTCTTCTTCTCAGTCTTACAAACTCTGTTGCTATTGCTATGTACAATTATTCAAGGTCTGGTCTGATATACAAAACAAATGAAATCTGATAATTTCAAGGCCTGCCTAGGAACTTCTGGAACAACTAAGCTTTGGCAATGTCAATGTATGACAGGTTATACATTTTTGAAGTCAGAATTAAAAACTCCAACGTCCATTAGAAAAAAATAAAGTTAATGATGTTATTGCAGACGAGAAAAGGTGGTAATATTAACAAGTCGAAAAAAAATAAAATCTATTTAGGGATAAATCTGGTAGGGGAAACAAATGACCATCTAATTATTTCAACGCCTGCCTAGGAAATTCTGCTTTTTCTAAATAAGTGAGGTTTGGAAACGTCAATACGTTATACAATTTAGTATCAGAATTAAAAATCTTATTCATCTGTGCAAAAATCCAACATGGCATCAATATAACTTATTATTGAGTAGTAAACAAGCAAACGATCTCGTCCTACCTTGTCAAGAATTTAGTTGGTACACAGTCCATGAAATAACCTTTTGGCGAAGAGTTTCCATTTATAAGGATAAAGTACGGGTCTGGATACATTGGTGCAGCGGATTCTACAGTTTTCAGTCGTTTTCGGCCATATTTATATAACCTCGGGGTGACGTAAAATTGACAAGTTGACAGTTTGTCCTTCCTAATTCATACTACATAAGAAATTTCTATACAGAGTGTCATGACCCGCAAAAAGAAAAAGGAAGAAGAAGAACAACAAGAAAAGCCCGAGAATGAAAAAAACTGCATCTCAGATGAAGAAAATCGACCTGATTCGACTAATGTAAAAAAGATATTAGAAGAGAATCGATCCCTGAAGAAAACACTAGCAGAAAAGGAG